TCAACTGCTACCTGATAAGGAAAAACGTGGAAAAATATATGAGTTGATAGCTCAGTGAGTGGAGAAATTCAAAATAAATGTACCTTTTCCATTTATACATTTTTATTGAAAATCAAATTCATATCATTTGATGATTCACAAACTACCATCATGTAATTATAGCCAAAAAGTGAAATATTCACATAAGGTCATAAAAATATCATTTTAAAATCATGACATAACATAAGCTGATAACCATGCTATAATCTCATCACATCAAACGTGCTGAAAAATCCACCAAAAATGTACCCTCTGACTGAAATATGTAATCCGCCTCTCGGGCTAAGAACTTTCGCCACGGGCCTTTGGTACCCTCCGTGAACGAAAGCCGGTCTCAAAGGCCTCTCATAATCAATTCTAGAACACGGCCAGGGCCCCTCTATGAACTATATGTACACGATCAAGACCAATGTCAGGTCAAGACCCTCCGTGTAGGATAGAACACGGCCAAGACCCCTCTGTGAACTAGAAGAAGTATATAATCATGGGTACTTTTCTGGCCAATCTCAATATTGCATGTCTCACATGCCAAACAAATCTCAATATCACATGTATTACATACCAAGTCACAAATATGCCATAAATAATCTTTGATATTCCACATATATCATAATAAAAGAGATTCCATAATAACCATATAATTCGAACACATAATTGCACATACTTTGATAATATACTTAATTTATAAATATTTTAAAAATATTTATATTTTTCCACTCACAGAACTATGTACGCCAAAATCAATTCGATTGGTACGATGTCCCGATATCCAAATCCCCATCTGAGATATAATATAATTTTTAAATCAACAATTAACTAATTTAAGTAATTTCAATAATTAAATAGGCGATATCCAAACATAATTATTTCACGTTTAGGCGATTTTTAACGTCTCTTTAATTACTAAAACTAATTTTTCTTTCATTTTACTCAATTTCATAGTTTATTACACTTAACCCCTTCAATAAAATTAAATATAACCTAACAATCTAACAACTATAAAATCAAATATAACTTGACAATAAGTAACTTTTTACTTACCTTTCAAAATTGAAAAATTCAAGTCTAATATGATAGAGCACTTAATTCCTAAAACATTGAGGAAATTTTCCCTTTTTTTCCCTTATTTTTCTTCCTCTTTTTCTTTTTTTCCCTCTTTTTCCTTTCTCTTTTTCTCTCTTTTCTTTCTCTGCACCGTGTTTTTTTGTGTCGATGTAATATGTATGTTAAGGATTTGGTTTACACACATATCTATATATATATAATTGCATTGGAAATTGATTGTTTGATAACTGCCTCCCCTTTTTGTTTTTATCTTTTTTTTTTTTTAAGTTTGACTTTTCTTTGTGAATTGATTAGAGTATTACAAAACTCATTCCCTTAAAAGAATTTCATCCTCGAAATTCGATCAACTAAGTACGAAAAATCTGGGGATACTAAGAATGCATCTGCTCTTCACTTTCCCATGTCGCTTCTTCTATAGCATGATTCCTCCACAAGACTTTAACCAATGGAATAGTCTTACTACGCAAAACCTGTTCCTTCCCATCCAATATCTGAATTGGTTTTTCTTCATAGGTAAGATTTTCCTTCAGTTCTACTGGTTGTGATTCCAAAATATGAGATGGATCTGGAATATACTTACGAAGCATAGAAACATGGAATACATCATGAATTCTGGATAATTCTGCTGGCAAAGCCAATCGATATGCAACTGGGCCGATGCGTTCAACAATCTCATATAGGCCAATTTACCTCGGACTCAATTTACCTCGTTTACCAAATCTGATAACACCTTTCTATGGAGACAATCGCAGGAAAACTCTATCTCCAACATCAAATTCAAGGTTTCTTCTGCGTCTATCTGCATAGTTCTTCTGTCTATCTTGGGCTGTCTTTAACTTTTCTTTAATTATCTTTACTTTCTCAACAGTGATCTGGATATATTCAGGACCTAATAACTTTCTTTCACCAACTTCATCCCGACATACTGGAGTTCTGCATTTCCTACCATACAGTGCTTCAAAAGGAGCCATTTTTATAATCGAATGATAACTGTTATTATAAGAAAACTCCATCAAAGAAAGATGAGTATCCCAATTCCCTTTGAACTGCAGTGCACAAGCTCGTAACATGTCTTCCAGAGTCTGAATAGTTCTTTCTGACTGACCATCTGTTTGTGGATGAAAAGCTGTACTGAAATGAAGTTTAGTACCCATAGCTTTCTGTAAACTAGGCCAAAATTTAGAAGTGAAACGAGAATCTCTACCTGAAACAATAGATACTGGTGCCCATATAAACTGATTATCTCGTCAATATATATTTTTGCCAATTTATCTAACGAGTAAGTGACTTTAATAGGCAAAAATCTAGCAGTCTTCCTCAATCTGTCTACAATGATCCATATGCCATCATGTCCACTTTGAGTCCGTGGAAGTCCAAATAGAAAATCCATAGTAATGTGTTCCCATTTCCACTCAGGGAATAGGCAACGTTTGTAACAATCCTGCTATTTTCTAACGATCTGGTTTCACTTGCTGGCAAATGAGAGATCTGGATACAAACTCAGCTATTTCTCTATTCATTCCATGCCACCAATAGTGTTCTTTGAGTACATGATACATTTTTGTACTACCTGGATGCATCGCGTAAGCTGAACTATTTGCCTCTTCTAGAATTTCTCCCTTCAATTTCGAATTATCTGGAACACATAATCTGTTTCCCACAACTAAAGCTCCATCATCTCCAATGGTATAATCTATATGCTTACCTTTACTAACTTCTTCTTTCAATTTGCTCAACACTGGATCTTGAGTTTGAGTTTCTCTAACTGTGTCAATCAAAGTAGGCCTCACTTGGAAGTTGGCAAACAATGCTCCTACACTAGTAACTGATAATTGAGCATGAGAACCTCTGAACTCACCAAACAAAGATGAACATGCTGCATTAGTTTGGGTCATAGGACTCGATATTTTCCGACTGAGAGCATCAGCAACTACACTAGCCTTTCCTGGATGATAATCAATCTTGCAGTCGTAATCTTTTATCAGCTATAACCATCTTCTTTGCCTCAAATTTAACTCTTTCTGATCGAAAATATACTTTAAGCTTTTATGATCTGCATATATCTGGCATCTCTCACCATACAAGTAATGTCTCCAAATTTTCAAGGCTAAGACAACTGCAGCTAGCTCTAAGTCATGTGTAGGATAATTCAGTTCATGTTTCTTCAACTGCCTAGAAGCATACGCTATAACTTTCCCATTCTGCATCAAAACACAACCAAGACCCTGACATGAAGCATCACTATATATCACAAACTCATCACCGGGAGATGGAAGGGTAAGAACTGGAGCTGACACTAATCTATTCTTCAATTCGAGGAAACTTCTCTCACAATTTTCATTCCAAACAAATTTAGCATTCTTTCTAGTCAAACTGGTCAAAGGAAGAGCAATTTTAGAAAATCCCTCTACAAAACGACGGTAATAACCTGCTAAGCCAAGAAAACTTCGGATTTCTGTCACATTAGTAGGTCTTTCCCATTTTACCACTGTCTCTGTTTTCTGCGGGTCAACATAAATTCCTTCTGCTGATATGACATGTCCCAAAAATACAACTTTATCAAGCCAGAATTCACATTTAATGAATTTAGCATACAACTGCTCATCACGTAGAGTCTGCAAGATGATTCTAAGATGTTCTGTGTGCTCATCATGATCTCGAGAGTATACTAAAATATCATCAATGAATACAATTACAAATCTGTCTAAATACGGGCGAAACACTCTATTCATCATATCCATAAATGCTGCTGGTGCGTTGGTCAACCCAAATGGCATCACAAGAAATTCAAAATGACCATACCTTGTCCTGAAAGCAGTTTTTGGCACATCACTGTCCCTTATTTTAAGTTGATGATATCCAGAACGCAAATCAATCTTTGAAAATACTGCAGCACCTTGAAGCTGATCAAACAGATCATTAATACATGGCAAAGGATATTTATTGCGAATTGTCACCTTGTTCGATTGTCTGTAATCTATGCACAGTCGCATGGTGTCATCTTTCTTTTTCACAAACAAAACTGGTGCTCCCCACGGAGATATGCTAGGTCTGATAAAACCCTTGTCTACCAACTCTTGCAACTCAACCTTTAGCTCTTTCAATTCTGCTGGTGCCATTCTATAGGGTGCCCGTGAAATAGGTACAGTTCCTGGAATTAGATCTATAGTGAACTCCATATCTCTGTCTGATGGTAAGCATGGTAATTCTTTTGGAAATACATCAGGAAAGTCCTTGACCACTGGGATATCTTCAAGTTTTAGTTTGCTAACATTTGTATCAATTACATGAGCCAAATATGCATGGCAACCCTTGTTGAGTAATCTTCTAGCGTCAATAGCAGATATCACACAAGACAGTAAAATTTTACGCTGTCCATTGAATATAGTTTCAGGCTATCCTGGCTGTCTAAACACAATCTCCTTTCAAAAACAATCAACTGAAGCTCGATTTGTTGCCAAAAAGTCCATACCCAAGATAACATCAAAATCATCTATGTTAAGAGGTATTAAATTTGCCTTCATCTCCTTTTCCTTTACCTTAATCCCACAATCTCAATATATATTGTTTGCTAATAGTGATTCTTCTACTGGTGTATTCACTACCAAACAACTGCCTAAAAGTTCTGGCTTTTGATTCACATATAAAGCAAATGCAAATGACATAAAAGAATGTGTAGATCCAGGATCAATCAAAATACGAGCATTTCTATCAAAAATAGACAACATACCCATGATAACATCTGGTGACTCCTCTGCCGCCTGCTGAGTCATAGCAAAAACTTTTCCCTGGGTCTTCGGTCATCCTACTTGCCCTTTTGATTTTGTACCACTACCTCTTGCGATATTAGATTGGGCCACACTGTTTGTACCTGCTCTGTTAGCTGAATCATCTCTCTAAGTCTGATTCTGTCTTGTACTACCAGCACTCTGCTGAGGAAACATCCTCTGTGCCATGCTATCCTCCTGGAATACAACTGGGCAATTCCTTTTCAGTTGTCCTTCTTGGCCACAGTGATAGCAAACACCAACTCCCTTGAACTTTAAACACTCTGCAAGATGAGATCTTCCACATAATTGGCAAGAAGAAAATCTGGCACTAGTAGAACTCTCTCCCTATCTCGGAGTAAATGATCTCTGGAAAGAACCCTGAGTATAATTACGACTGGCCAATGGCTGCTGTACAGTACTGGGACCGAATCTAGGACCCTAACTTCCTTGGAGTCGAGATTTGAATTGACCTGAACTAGACACACCAGGTCGAAATCCTCTACTGTCCCTCCGTGGTGGTCTATAGCTAGAAGCACTTGCCATTGTCTGACTACCGCTTGCTCTGAACATTGTTTGTTCTCTACCACTTGGCCTATCAGAAATGCTCTTTTCTACTCTCAAAGCTGATTCCACTAATTTTCCAAATTCATTCCAGCCTACAGCTGTTACAACTGACCTGATTTCTTCCCTTAACCCATTTTCAAACCGTCTGCATTTATCAATTTCGTTGCATACCAGAACTTGGGCATATTTTGAAAGTTCAATAAATTTCACATGATATTCTGCAATAGTCATCTGACCTTGTATTAGTTTTAGAAATTCCTCATGCTTTGCATCTTTATAGGACCGAGGGTAATAGGCATCATAAAAGATACGACGAAAATATGTCCAAGTAATGATGGAACGGTCTAGATATACACTCCGTACCGACTGCCACGAATCATATGCACCTTTCTCTAATAAGAAAGTGGCAAGACACAACTTCCGATCGTCTAAGCAACCTATAACGTCAAATACCCTCTCTATCTTTGTCATCCATGCCTGCGCAACTGCAGGATCGGCTGTGCCAGTGAACACTTTAGCCCCTAACTTTGTAGCCCTTTCAATACTAAAATCTCTGTCAGTATTATGCATAGCAGATGCAACGGCAATAGCAATTTTTTCAACAGCAATAGGATCAATTCCAATCACATTTCCCTATCCATGTTGTTCAGGAGGCTAGTGAACTGATTCATCTACTCTCTCGGGCTCTCTTAGTTCATCTCTATCAGGAGCAATGTGAGACTGGGGCAACATATCTTCGAGCCTTCGAGTTTTGCCACCACGAGGCATGACTCACCTACAGTTATGCATGATATGCTAAATATTAGAATGTATGCATGTACAATGCAAACCCATGAACTCTAATGCATGCTCTGATACCAAACTGTCACACCCCGCCCCGTGTAACACCATTAGATCCGGACGTGGCATGCGCCGATGATAGATACCAACTAAAAGTCGGACCCACCATCAAGGCTACTACAAATATAATATATCACCTTATACATCATTTTTTTAACAAAATTTCGGCATTATCTCCCCTGTAAACAGGACTAACCAACCTATGATCAATTTCACACAAATCCCAAACTATAGCACAACACAATAAAGATAAGCCGAAATCTCCACTTTTACCAAGAAATACAATGAAATATACATTTGGATACATAATACATAGTAAACCCCATAACTATCTACAAGTGATGCAAAATCACATCTAGACATGAACATGCATCCCAAAACACTGACTACATGTTCTATGAAGTAAGTCATACTAACAAACTTTGTCTTGTGGCTCTGACTCCAAAATCAAGGCTCAACTCCAAAAGATGCCCAAATTCTCAATTGCTACTTGATAAGGAAAAACGTGGAAAAATATATGAGTTGATAGCTCAGTGAGTGGAGAAACTCAAAATAAATGTACCTTTTCCATTTATATATTTTTATTGAAAATCAAATTCATATCATTTGATGATTCACAAGCTACCATCATGTAATTATAGCCAAAAAGTGAAATATTCACATAAGGTCATAAAAATATCATCTTAAAATCATGACATAACATAAGCTGATAACCATGCTATAATCTCATCACACCAAACGTGTTGAAAAATCCACAAAAAATGTACCCTCTGACTGAAATATGTAATCCGCCTCTCGGGCTAAGAACTTTCGCCACTGGCCTTTGGCCCCCTCCGTGAACGAAAGTCGATTTCAAAGACCTCTCATAATCAATTCTAGAACACGGTCAAGGCCCCTCTGCGAACTATATGTACACGATCAAGACCAATGTCAGGTCAAGACCCTCCGTGTAGGATAGAACACGGCCAAAGCCCCTCTGTGAACTAGAAGAAGTATATAATCATGGGTACGTTTCTAGCCGATCTCAATATTGCATGTCTCACATGCCAAACAAATCTCAATATCACATGTCTTACATACCAAGTCACAAATATGCCATAAATAATCTTTGATATTCCACATATATCATAATAAAAGAGATTTCCATAATAACCATATAATTCGAACACATAATTGCACATACTTTGACAATATACTTAATTTATAAATATTTTAAAAATATTTATATTTTTCCACTCACAGAACTATGTACGCCAAAATCAATTCGATTGGTACGCTGTTCCGATATCCGTATCGCCATCTGAAATATAGTATAATTTTTAAATCAACAATTAACTAATTTAAGTAATTTCAATAATTAATATGCGATACCCAAACATAATTATTTCACGTTTAGGCGATTTTTAACGTCTCTTTAATTACTAAAACTAATTTTTCTTTCATTTTACTCAATTTCATAGTTTATTACACTTAATCCCTTCAATAAAATTAAATTTAACCTAACAATCTAACAACTATAAAATCAAACATAACTTAACAATAGTAACTTTTTACTTACCTTTCAAAATTAAAAAATTCAAGTCTAATAGGATATAGCATTTAATTCCTAACACATTGATGGATTTTTCCCTTTTTTTCTTCTTTTTCTTCCTCTTTTTCTTTTTTTCCCTCTTTTTCCTTTCTCTTGTTCTCTCTTTTCTTTCTCTGCACCGTATTTTTTGTGTGTGGATGTAATATGTATGTTAAGGATTTGGTTTACACACATATCTATATATATAATTGCATTGGAAATTGATTGTTTGATAACCGCCTCCCCTTTTTGTTTTTATCTTTTGTTTTTTTTTTTTTAAGTTTGACTTTTCTTTGTGAATTGATTAGAGTATTACAGACACCCCAAAACTATACTACAATTATCATGTTATACTTTGGGTGTAATCAAGTTTGCATTCAATTGACTCCTATCAATCTTTAAAGTATCTTTTGTACTCCAAATCAAGCATTGCATATTCATACTTTTGTCTCCATACTTTGGATTTATTTCATTTTTGCTCATTTTTCGTTCATTTCTTCCAGTTCTACCAATTTGCATTGAGTTCAACCTAACAAACATACTTAACACATAATTAAGCTATAAGTCATTCAAATTACTAACAAATACTCAAATTTATTTGCCTGGATAAGTGTACAAATTCAGACTTCTTAATGGAAAGTATTCTATTATTTGACAAGAAGCCTTAGTATACAATGCCAAAACCTCCTATATAAATAGTCGGCTATCATGAAAGTTGTTTGTTGTTTTGTTAAGTCTGTGAATATTTCGGACTTCTCTCTACTAATGAGTTGTTCTTGCAACAATATGCCACCATTTTAAAGAAAGAATTTGTACTTCATCGTGATTCATCATCAACTTTCTTTGCCTAAGTTCCAATTACAATTAACAAGCAATGAATGGACAAAAATGACTCTCAGAGCAATCCCCGTAATTAAATTTTCAAATGAAAAATCAATTGTTAGCTCATTTTCCTCCTTTTTTTTATCAAACAAATAGGAGGAAATTAAAAATCATGCAAGGAAGAAGGAAATGAGTCAAATATGTGCACATACTAGTTTATATAATTTAGCATAAATGAATCGACAAAATTAAAAGCCATTATTCTTCCTCCAAAATTTTTAAGCATTGTTTAAGCCAGATAGAAACAAAGATTTGTTTAAGCTCATAAACACTATAAAATAATGAAACATTATTCTTCCTCCAAATTTTAGTAAAAATGTATTTTGATACATTAGTTCCAAAATAAGTTAACTTTTACCTTATAAACATGTTCAGATATATTTGAAAACTTGTAGGTTCTAACTTGCAACAAGTTGTTGGAAAATAAACAATTATGGAGGAAAAACTAGAGAGACAACACAAGAAGTTTTTAAGAGATATTTGATTTCACTAGCTTGGCTATTCAAATGTCTCAAGCACAAGGCCTTATATAGGTACAAGGAATCCCAAATGCATTGTATAAATTCAATGGACTAATTAATAATTTCTTCTACATACTATGAAGAATAGTATACAGAGAACCATGTGGATATATGAATAAAGCAAATACATATATTTTAAATTAATTAATTCATCAATCAAGTTTAGTTTTCAACACACTTTCTTAAACTTGATCAATCCAAGCACGTAATTTTGCAAAATCATCATTCTTCATTTGCTTGGTAAAAATGTCTACTACATAAGCAAGCTCCACTTCCTTCATCTCAATGCACTTTCTAATTAAGTGAAATCTTGTATCTATATGATTGCTTCGATCATGAAACATGGGATTCTTATTCAAAGAAATAGTTGACTTGTTATCAACATAATTTGGTGTAGTTTTGTTTGGGGGCATATGAAGCTTCTCTAACAACTTCCATAGCCCAATGGTATAATAAATACATGATGTCGCGAAAACATATTCAGTTTCACAAGTAGAAAGAATCACAATTGGTTGTTTCTTTGAACACCAACCAAAATCGGAGTTACCCATGAAAAACAAAAATTCGATGGCACTTTCTCGATCATCAATATCACCAGCCCAATCACTATCACTATAACTATGAAACTTGAAATTTGTAGAAGAAGAATAAGTTAAGTCAAAATCAAGGATAGCTTTAATGTAGTGAAGTATCCTTTTAGCTATCTCCACGTTTGTTAAAGTTGGTGCCACCATATAACAACTAGCAAGACCAACAACATAAAGAATATTGGGTATTGTACAAGTTAAATATCGCAAGCTTCCAACAAGCTATTTATAGAGAGATGGATCCACTTTCATGCTCTCGTCATACTTTGACATTTTTGTTCCACAATCAATGGGAGTACTCACCGAGTTGCGATTTTTCATTTTGAACTTCTCAAGAACTACATGAGCCCAATGTCAATCATCTCAAATTCTTGAGCCATCCCCTTCTTAAAATTTTAAAACAATTTTTTCATTATTTTGATGAAGATTAAGTAATTAACATATAAGCCCACAATCATAAAACCTCTATCTGCATCATTTTAAACATAAAGAGCATATTCGACATTTGTTGAATCCATGATCTTGAAAATACTTGTCACTCCAACTATACCAAGCTCTAGGCATTTGCTTCAAGCCATATAGTACCCTTCTTCAACTTCAAGACTTTATCTTCATGTCCCTTGATAACATAACCTGGGTCGTCAAACATACACTTCTTCTTCAAGGTAATCATTCAAGAAAGTGGACTTGACGTCCATTTGATAAGTTTTCCACTTATTTTGAGCTGCTAAGGAAATGATTAACCGAATGGTTTCCAAGCGAGCAACAGGGGCAAAGATATCATTGTAGTCAAAGCTATGCTTTTGGCATAGCATTTAGCAACAAGCCTTCCCTTGTATTTTTCCCCCTTTCCCCGAGCATTTTTTTTCCACTTTAAACCACCCATTTCATGTCAATTGCTTTGTGCTATTTAAGAAGAGATGCTAGCTCCCGTGTACTATTTTTTTGGATTGCTTGAATCTCTTCATCCATTGCATGCCTCCACTTCTTGTCTTACATTGCCTCTTCAAAATTTAATGGCTCAATATTGGCAAAGAGACAAAAAAGAGAGATGGGTTATCAAACATTTCATTTTCTTTATAAATCTCTACAAGAATTTTCAAATGACTCGGTCCTCTAGAGAGACTATCATGAGGAGATTGAGGGCAGAAGAATGTAGTGGGGTGTCATCTTCACTTGCCTCTTGGCTTGAGTTTTCTTCTTGGAAAGAAAAAATTGCATATTCTTCATTCTTCGAGACATTCCAATCATACGTAGTTTCTTTCGTCGAATTTCGTATCACTACTAATAACAATCTTTCCATTGCAAGGATTATAGAACTTGAAGCCTTTGGAGCTTGAATCATTGTTGATAATGATAAATTTCTCT